CTCCATCTCGAATATTTCCCGACAACCATGGAAGAATTTTGCAGTGCACATTGGAGCATATCAGCAACTGGTGCTATAAGGTCCTCCAAGCTCCTCACCGGCAATGGCTCAAACAGCTGCATCTCCAATAACTCCATCGACGTCCAGCACATGGAGATAATGGAACCGCCGCCGAGGCTACTGAGCAATGCCAGGCCCATATCTGTAGATGCTTCTTCGTCTAGTATCGTTGATGTTGGAAAAACGCTGTGCATATGCATGTTTCCTTTCACAAAGTTCTCCTTCAGATCCTAGGTTTCACAAAAAGCAAGGCGCATTGATGAGTCCATGGGACAGGGCAACCCGATGGGTAAAGAATTCTCGGGAGAACACCCTCGCTACAGCACTGCTGACCGAGACGTTGTTCTGGCACTGGAGACGACGGGGACCAGAGAAGGGCAGTAGTTGGAGGAAGAAGAAGTAGAGTTGGAGTGGGTCTGCTGCTGAACAGGCGTTGTGAGAGGCAAATGGAAATTTTCTCGGTGTAATAAGGTCCTCTGAGTTCCTCACCGGCAGTGATCCATGCAGACGCATCTCGACCGGTGAGGACATCGACTCCAACGACGTCCAGTCCATGGAGTTGATGGAACCACCGCCATCACTGCCAATGCTGCTGAGGAGTACCAGGTCAATATCCGTAGAAGCCTCTTGGTCCAGCATAATCGGCAGTGTTAAGGCATTGTTCATATTCACGCCGCCGCCTTCCACAAAGTTGTCCTTCAAATCATATGTGTGGCCAAACACAAGGCTCTCTAACGAGGCCATGGGATAAAGCGACCGAGAGGTTAGAGACGTCTCCGGAGAACAGTTCCTGGATGAAGAAGCTTAGAATTGAAGAAGTGTCTTTGGATTGCAGACGAGAGAGGCAGGTGGAGGGGCCAGAGAGGGGCAGTAGTTGGAGAATGTAGTAGAAGAAGTGGATTTTGAAGTGGTCTGCTGTCGAATAGGCGTTGTGAGAGGAGTTTCACCGAGGTCCAAGCTAATCGACGAGTCCGAAGAACAAGGATTACGCATGGATAGAGTATCCCCGGGTGAACATATTCGCAACGACGACGCCGGTGTCTGACAATTTGTAGGAGAAGGACACGATAAGTGTTATTTGGAATGCGCACCCTTAACACAGGCCACACATGGGTGAGATGTGTGGTGGCGCATCTAATTGCGTTTCCCTGTTGCTTCAACCACCAACGCCCTCTCCTGCTTCCGGCTTTCTTGTTTAAGTCTTGACAACGGGTGCCTCTTGTTGAGGGAGGAGAGATGGAGGTAGATTTTGTGCAAGTCTAATGTCAACATACATCATTTCATGTGCAAAAAACCGTCTTTTAGCCCACCCAGTCGTGAGGTACACGACAAATCTCGTCGAACGTGATGTAAACGTTGTCTTGTGTACATGGTGTTTTAGAGGGAAACTCCATCGTCTGTAAATAAGATAGGTTTGTTGAAAATGGCTAAAGAAATTATCTTATATTAAATTGCAAGAAATGTAAAGAAGGGAATATCTCACGTTTGGGAAGACAGAAAAATGTCTAGGCTAGAGTTACTGGATTAAGTGGTTCTTATCCTTTACCATTATTGGTTAGGCATGGCATTCGTCATTGCGTGTTTTTAGTTCTTCGCTGCTGTTGCCCAACCGCCGGAATAAAGTGTTCGTTTCGAAATTTCGGAATTTTGGCGGCAAAGATCCATTCGTCAAATGCTTCCGCAAATTTTAGTTTTGCCAAATAGAGGCATTCAGTTCAGTCAATTGCCATTGGTCAACAAACCTATTCTCCATGATAGAGTAGAGCAGAGCAACTGATGAGCATGCGCAAGCCTTAGATAAATCCTCATCCGAGTATTACATTTTAATTTCTCAATGGGATATTATATTTAGATGGGAGTGGGGTCAAATATAAAACATGTGGTCACTTATGTTCATCGGTTCGTTCATTTGAAATAATGGGGATAGGGGGTGGGGGTCGATAAGAGACAGCTGGGTATGTGGCCATAAGGGTCCAGGTGAAGAGGGGAGAGAGGGGAAGAAGAGCACGGAATAGTGCATAAACTTAAGCGACTGTTTGTCAGCCTAGGCGCTGATTTTAAAAAGAGTTCTTATGTGCACACAAAACCGGCTTCCTCAATCTGATGGCAGTCGCTTCTACTATTGCTAGCACACGTTGGCCTTATAAAGCGCCCGAAAGGCTTCGTTGAGGTCCGGATTAAGTCCAAAATCAACAATGTGCGCGAGGATAGTGATGTTCAATCCCCTGACTTCACATGCTTCTGTCCACCTAGGTAGGTGTTCTTTTATTGTTTTAGGCAGATGCCGACTCCTGCGACTAATACAAACTGCTCTAAAGGTGCAATTGAATGAGCAGATGCACATGGACGTAGTCTGGGCTGAAAACCTATTTTATCTTCTTCGTGCAAGACCGGGTTGGTTGAGATTGGCGTCCGAAGTCTCGCTGCTGAAAAGGTTTGTAACACGGTTCGGTCAGGGCGTCTTTAAGATCAGATTTTCTTTCGATAAACGCTCCTTTGGACGTTACCGCCAGGCCTGAGACTTAGGAGAACGTCCAAGAAAAGGAATGAATCTGCTGTTTCCGCCTCTTACGTGAAGGTTCTGGATGGATGTGTTTGTTTGACAGTATTTAAGGGAGTACTGTCTATTTCCGCGGTCGTTACTATGTCAGCAACATAGTGAATAAAAACGTTTTAGATTATGAATCTCATCGCAAAGTTCAAATTCCTCCAGCTAGCTCACGTAAACGTCGTCTAGCAGAAGTCAAAAATTCGAGCTGAAAACAACTTTGTCTTTTTTGCCTGTATAATTGGTTGTCAAGTAGGAACTGCAGATTTGATCCCGTTCCCATCTGGATTGAATGGGCCGATGATCTTTTATCGAAAACATACGTTTACGCGCCAAGCCGATCTTCCGAATTAATTTCCACTGGTTGATGAAAGCTCACGAATATATTCCTAACGACAATACAAAATCTGAGTATGAAGGAGAGAGAGCTTACGCGGCTTATTGGGCAACACACTGATGATCCGAACGCCTGAACCGAAATCTCAGAACAGGGCCATAGGATCGCAGCGGCAAAGCTTTTACCTATGAACTTTACGTTCTGCCATAACCGCCTCTAAAATTACACATCATCTCGCACATCCATCTAACCTGACGATGACTAATGACCTGTGTGTCACCTTACTGTTGAACAATCGTGGGGTCATCCACTGGACTCGTTATGTTACAGTTCATGTGTCGCCAGCTCACACAATGCATTTT